TCCTGATTTAAAAGGCAACGCTCTGTCATTTTTAAGCATATACAGTAACATGGAAAACATTTTTTTTTTTTTTTTTAAATAATTCTACATTAAAAATGTGTGTTAAAACATTTCCTTCTCATTCTTGCTGCTTATTATTGTCTGGTACAAAGCTATCATTGTCTCTGATTAAATCAAAAGATGTGCAAATTGTCAGCATCCCATAAACATATAATTTTGTGCTGAGCTAAAAATGTGAAAATATTTGTATTTATTTTTGCACCTGATGTTCTTTATTGATTTATGTGAGGAAATAAAACTCAAGTAGTTGCCTGTCTGCTTTAATGTATGTTGAAAGCAAACTAACTGGAAACACACAGTTATATCTGTCTATGTTTGCACTGATGTTTACAGCAGAGGCAGCAAGTCTTTCCTGTGGTGTTGTGTTTCAAACGAGGAACCATGGCTGCAGCAGAGAAAAGAAAAAAGCTGTGGTTTTTAACTGACAGTCTGAAACATTTTTTTTAATTTCACCTCGCCTATGTTGCCTGTGAGAAAATTCAGTGATGCAGATGTTGGCAAGTAATGTGTGATATATGGGTTTTAAATAAAATGTTTGGTTAACAATACAGTTAGAGACAGGAAGTGTTTCTTTCTTCACGTGCAGAAATACAACACCTCTCATCTTCAGGCAGCTTTACAATGTGCTTACAGCGTAGTTTGGTAAATACTAAAACAAAAGATGGTCTCATGGATGTTGGAACCATTTAATTTCTAAAATATAGAGAACAGCTACTCTCCCCATCAATTACAGTTCCTGTATCCATAGCATAATTAACAAATATTCTGCGTTTGTCCTGTTCTGACATTAAAAATGGTGTCAAAAGCTGTGTCATTTAATATTTCTCAGAGAAAATGGTACTATGGGCACAAGAGCAACAAAAAGCAACCACCCTTAAAATTTATACAATATAGTAAGGTGGAATATAGTAAAATTAATGTCAACTGGAGGCTTTTTGGGCGTAGTTACATCTGCAGCTGAAATGGAAACTCACACCTCAGAGTAAAGGCCTCTGCAATTTTTGTGTGTTTTTATTATTAAGGTTTCAATGCTCTGTAGCTATATGAATAAGCACTGATACCAAAGGTGGATATTTTTATATGGCTGAGGGACTCAAAAACAGTTTTCTGAGGATATTTTAAAGTCTTATATTGCTCTTGGTAACAAAAAATAAAAAAGAGAAAAAATCTCGTCTTTAAAGAAGCACTTGAAGCAGAAAAAAAAACTTTTAATAATGTGAGGTGAAGTCAGTGCAGAAAAGACAACAACTGGGACAACAATGAAATTAATCCATTTCCATTATTCTATAAAGTTTAACTGTGACTTAGTTTTTGGTACATTTTTGCAAGGCATTCAAGAATAAGGTCACAGGCTGTATGTGCACATTCCCTAAAGAAATGTACAAAGCAAAAATATATGTTGTAATCATAGAGTCTATTACATTTGGTAAAATACTTTAAGTGCCCCTCCAGACACAATTTAAGTATTTAAAAATACTCTGCTATGATTAATATTAGGTTCAACCTGGGGTCCCTACATGATAAGTAAATAAATCAATTAATAAAACTCTGAAAAGGGGCTGGAAGCACATCTATACTTTTTCTGTCACTGAGAAATTCTGGATCCATTGACCAGTGAAGAAGCAGGGGCATCAAGATGGCTAGCTTTAGAATAGTTAAAGGAGAGATTCAGCTCCACATGTTTGAGCCTCAGTCAGACCCACACTCAGATGAGGAGTTCGCTGTGAACTAAAATTGGAGACTAGCATATGGATCAGAATGGTATGTGTGAGCATCTCTCATTGGTTTATTTTGTTTGTTAACTTCTAACTGGCAGTGGCTGACACAAAGTTAGTGACATACAGCAATGGCTGCTCAGTATTAGTGTGTTTGTGTTGTCATGTTATATGTAATTGTAAAGGCTACCATAGGTCTAATTGAAGTTTACAGACAGATATATTCCATCTGTCTGAGATTTTTATATTACATGTAATAAGTCTACTCTGTGCTGGAGGTTTAAGGTTGCATTGCTGGAGTTTGCATATTAGACAGCGATTGGCTAATTTGTGACGTATCTGATCTAGCCTGCCTGGTGTACATCTGGATCTCAGATTTTATGGAAATGCACAGACATCACCTCCTTCAGTAGACAAATGTGAAAACACCTCTCTAGTAACAAACCCTGCACAGATATAAGTCAGTGTAGTAAATGACAGACACTTGAAGGCCAAGACACACCAAACTAACATCTAAGAACTTAAGCCTCAAGTCATCCCTTGTCTCTGCCAAAAAGTTGCACACGAACACACTGCAATAACTAAAACCTAGGGCCAACCTGCATGACACATCATGACACTAGTTAACGTGTTAACAACACAATCCAATTTTAGTCACCAGTTCAGTCTCTGACCAAATGTCTCCCCTTCTGTTCCTGAGTTATGACACTGAGTAATGGCAAGAGGAGTGTTTTTGAAGAACATTATGATGGCAAAGTGAAGCTGAAGTTTGACCATTTGGATAAAGTCATCTTTTTATCATTTTATGTTAATAATTATTTGTGTGAAATTCTGTCATAATTAGCTAATTAATTCTTAAGTTGGCTGAAAACATGTTGTGTGAGGTCACAGTAACCTTGACCTTGGAGATATGTACCAAATTGGTAGAATTTCCTGCAAGGTGTTTTTTTGATACAATACAATATGATATTGTACTCATTAGAATAAGACACACAAGGTCACAGTGACCTTGACCTTTGACCACCAAAATCTAATCAGTTCATCCTTGACTCAAAATGGACATTTGTCCTTCCATGGAATATATAATATGTCTGAGCCCGGCCACGGCTATCACCAGCGCAGAGGCATACAAACAAAGAAAAGCAGTAAATGTTTAACATCTCACACAGCAAATGAGAGCTCAAGTCTAAGAAACCACAGTTTGTGTCTACAGTCTATATCTGAGCACTGCCAGATACAAGATGTCCACTTTGTTTGCCGGCAAGTTGTGACCGGCGACACGTTACCACTTCCTTCATTGTTGCAGCACAACAAAAAGACAGTAAGAGCATGTACCAGCCAGTCAGTGGAAAATTCACAGGTCAGCCTAACAGCCAGGAAGAAGACATCGCACCACTGTGAAGGCGGTGAGTGACAGTTTAATTTTAATCTCGTGCTAAAGAGTAATAAATCTAAGAGCTTATGAATTCTTGTCAGTTTTCTAAAACAGTCAAAATGTGCTAATCATATTGTTCATCTAATTTTCATTAAAATGGACTTTTAAACTTCAACCTACGAACTGATTTTATATTTTGTAATTTTAAGTAGATAAATACATTTTTAAAAAAAAGAACTAATGTGAGATTTTTGTGTCACATTAGAAAAGAATGATTTCCATCAGCATGATCTTCACCGTTCTGACAACAGCAGCTCTGGCAACAACAGCTCTAGCAACAGGTATTTGTGCAGTTAACTGTCCTAACATATTTCTTACACTCAGTGTATAGACAATAACTCAGTAGAAACATGTTTTTAACAGAATTAAGGCAGAAAAGTTTACAGAGACAATCACTGAGGAATGCAGCTAAAATTAGATTTAACAGAAAAATATAACTTCGGCAGTAAAACATAATGATATCATAATAAATGTTGAATGGCCTTGTATTTTTTCCTTTTCCCTGCTGTAATGACATGAATGTGTTTTACAGCATTAATTTTTTTTTGCTTTTTTTTTTTTTTTTAGGATCTATCATATGTAATTTCTCAGAAGGTACTGGAGCTCGGATGTGTTTTGGAGCAGTGGGGCAGCTGTTGATTTTTCAACTGTCAAAGACATCTAATACAGAAATTTTGTTAAAAAAGGATAATAAATACATAATTTTAAAAATACAAAAGAATCAGAAAGTGACTCTGCATGAAGAATATGTGAATCAGTCTGCACTCTTCACCAATGGAACAATCAAACTAGATAAAGCAATGAAGAGACACACTGGAGACTATGTGCTGGAAGAATTTGGATCTGATGGGGTTTTATTGAAAAAAGTCAATGTGCATCTAGTAATACAAGGTAGGTTGGGTAATCTAATAAAAAAAAATATGAAAGAAAAAACGTGTCTTATTCAAATTGTGGATGAAAAAAATCTACTTTATCTAATACAAGAATTAAATAATCTAGTAATACATGGAATTTTTTTTTAAAGGGTAAATAAAATTAAATGTTTTTTTTCTAATTGTGTTTGATACCAATTGTGAATATAAAAAAAACTACTGCATCTAAGTTTGATGTCTCTATCAGGTTTGCGGCCGTATGTTTCATTCCACACTCTCACATTTATGTTTCATACTGTGTTTTACACATTGCCCTCTTTACGATGAAAACGTTTGAAAAATAATTTAATTGTTTTAGCACTCCCAAGTTGTTGTTTTTTTAAATTAAACAATCAATATAGTAATTGGATGAGATAATGGCTACATAGTTGTGGATTCTACTATGCATTTTGGACTGTAGACTGTTACTCTCTGTTTGTCTTCCAGCTCCAGTGTCAAAGCCAGCTGTTTCTCAGACGTGTTTGTCACCAGAACAGATGAGCATCAGCTGTTCCTCTGAGGGAGATGGAATAGAGTTCATTCTGACTTTGGATGATCTCTTACTGTACAATAGTAAAGTAAACATGGAGTCACTGGCTGATAGTACAGCAAAACAAAACAAATCAAGTAATTCAAATGTTACCGTCACCTTACATGGTCAGCTGACAGGAAACCTGAAGTGTCTTGTTTTAAACAACATTAGCAGAGATGAAACAGTTATTCACCTGAAAAGCTGCAAAGGTACAGTTTAACAGTTTTTGGTTTTTTTTGTTTTTAAATATCAGCTCACAACTATTTCAAATGAATGAATGAAATCACTTTCTGGCTACATGGCAATGCTTGGCTTATTAATAACAGAATACTGTACATCACTGAAGTGTTTTAGGTGGAAGTATTCACCTGAGATCTGTACACAAATACCAGATGTAAGAAAACTACTTGGAGAAAGATTTGAGAAGGACCTTGGTAGCTCTGAAACTAACAAGTCAACGTCATCATAATACCTAATTTGGTTTGAAATTTGTGTTTTCTAGATTTAGTTTCTTCCTTCCCTGTTGTGACTTTGGCTGTGGCAGCTGGTGTTGTTGCTCTCCTTCTCCTTGTGGCGCTGTGTCTTAGAGTCCTAAAACTTCATAACCAACACAGACCAACAACTACCAATGAGGGTAAGTGAAGTATGTCCTCCCTTCATCTCAATAAGGACCAAACTGACATTAAGTTAGATTGTCATAATTTTATATTGTAGATTCTGAATTTTTTGCATTACATTCATTTAATACCATTTAAATAAATCTGTAAAGACAGAAATGTTTAAATCTGTGATAGGTTACATTTCAAGTCTGTTTTTTTTTTATTTTCCCAGGTAACTCTGAAGATGAAATTATCTACACAGCTGTTAGAATAATAGAGAATACAAGGAAAACCAGACCCAACTAACATCAGAATACAACATAATTTTCTCCTAAAACATCATTAAGCACCAGCCCTGTTTAGGACCCCAAAGTTTCCATTCCTGGGAATCTATCCTGGAGATAAATAAAATGTAATCAGAGGTCATTGTGTTTATGGCTTGAAAAAAAAAAAAAAAAAAAAAAAAAGAGTCAAACTTCAGACATAATCATGCTTTTTTGTGATCTTATTTTCTGTTATCTGCCCTGTATTTGAGTGACTTTGCAAGGATTCTTTTAAATACATGTGTCAAAGTTTTGTGTTTTTTAGTTTGTATTTTCTTAAAGAAATATATTGACAACATGTAATATTGATGAGTTTACTTTAGGTTTACAAATATATGTAATCTGTCTTAATTATTTTCTATTCTAGCATAGCTGTTTCCTGTAAATACTGGATTGGTGCATAGCACTGTTGTCACTGTTGCTTAGACCATTGCTTTGCAGAATAAATGGTTGAGCTGCGAGAGGCTTGGAACTGGTTAAACTTCTGCTTTAACGCAGTGTAACATCATCTGGCAATAAACTGCATAGGGTAAATAAATGAAATTTGAACAATCATATAATGCTGGTGTCTTTTTTTCCAACACAAACAGCTTGTTTCAGTTCAAGAGTTTTAAAAGTCGTGTCTCAGTAGTACAAACCACTGTGCAAAGTTTTGTGAGAAATCATCGATCAAACTGGCCTTTCATTTTCTCACAGGTGTCTGTAACCACACACCCACACCAACACAGCCTCCTTAATGCAGCACTGTTTTCAGTCATAGCAAAACTGAAGTTAGAAGCTATAATTAGCTGTGAGCAAATGCTGACATTTATCCTTCAGTGTGTGCAGAGATGAGTTGAGTCCATCCTTTGAAGCCTGAGCAGTTTTATTCAAAGGATTCTTGGTAATAAAACCTAACGACATAAAGACATACATCAAGTATCCAGTCACGGCTAAAATGAAAAACAACAGAAGATTAATTTGTTAGTCTTTGCTGTGCTGATTCTCCGACCACACACATCACTCTACCACAGCATGACCACCTCTCTGTCTCTCTCTTTTTTTCTTTTCTTTGGTCTCTTATTCTTTCTTTACAGTTAAACATGAACACCAGTTGACTCTGAGTCAGTAACACTGAAGGACCTGTAAACCAACTCTACCTACTACAAATTATGCTTTAATACTTGTAAGTTGCAACAGCAATTACATTTTGAAGGAAACACAATGCTGCCAACAAGCAACAACCAGTTTTATTTCTACTCTGATGTCACCCACTGGTTTGTGGACTCCCAATTTAAAGACTCGAGTTCAGCATTTTGATCATCGTCATCTTGACTTTTTTTTTTAAGCCAGAATTGACCATATTTGGATGAGAATGTGAAGCTGTGGGGGAGCCAGGGAAGGCTGTGACTCATAGACGGCAGCGATGCCTCACAGACAGCTTGTCACTTTAAGCGGCCACAACCTTAAATATGTGTAACTTCAAGACTCAATAAAATGTTAACAGATAAGTTATATGCAAATTCATTCCCTGTACAGTAGTAATGAATGTTGAAATTGGCTACAGAGACCAAAACTGGTTTGTACGAGGCTGTAAACATGTTTCTTTCTACTGTTAAACTGGGCATTTTAACATGGGTGTCTATGGGGATTAATTTGCTCTTGGAGCTGGCTTCAAGTGGCCATTTAAGGAACTGCAGATTTTGACACTTCTATGTTGGCCCATTTTTCCAGCCTCGGAGTTTGCCGCTTGGTTTGAACAGCCTGGAAAGAACGCAATCATGAAACATCTTTGAAATCTTTAGAAAAGCGACGTTTTGTTTCAGTTTGATTGAGCAACAGCACTTTCTAATCTGAACAACTGAAATGCAGCATGATACAGTGCACTGCACACTCCCGACTACCATTTACTGTAGGTAACACAGACTATAGATGACTAACTGACGATAGTACCTCACACAGCCCCATTTTAAAAAATCAAAACTAAATATATAAGTACACGCTGCAAGCACTGAAGACAATAATCACATAAAAAAATATATATATATGATAACAATTCAGTCTGTGTTAACTTTCTCCATAGTAGTGTGCTTATTAAAGGGCCAGTGTGTAATATTTGGCATGGTTTATTGTCAATCTGAATCTGAATCTGAATATTCTACCCATTAATATGTTTATATAAGTGTATAATTGCTATAAAATAAAATTCGTTTGGTTTTCGTAGCCTTATAATTATGCTTTTATATATATACAGTACAGGCCAAAAGTTTGGACACACCTTCTCATTCAATGCGTTTTCTTTATTTTCATGACTATTTACATTGTAGANAGCCAAAGAACGCGTTTCACGTGTTTAAATAAACCAACGAAGACAGTGGGAGGAAGGAAGAAGGAGGAGGAAACAGCCGAGAATGTTAGTAGTTCGTCGATAGAGAGTAGTGAAAAGTTTTTTTAGTTATAAAGTTTGCGAATGGTGCACAATGATGCACTCTCTGCGGCGCTTTTCCTCCTAATGATATATCTCCCCAACGGTGGTAGCACCGAATCCCATTCTGTGCAGCAAAATGGGAGTAGAGGATTCAGCTTCTCTTCTCGCCCACTCAGTGTACTCCGGCTCTCATCTGTATGCTCCGGCTCAAACAGGTATGGCTCTGGATCTGTGTCCGCTACAAGAAACTCTTCAAAATCGCGTTCAAAGTCGTCCATTGCAGATACTATAGTCCGGAGATATTGCTAGGCTAAATAAACAGCTGAGCTCTGTTTACCGGCTACGCTGTCAGTCAGTGCTGGAGATTGGTGGAGCGGGGGGGGGGTGTCCCCCGCTAGGTATTGTAAATGAGTAGGTGTGTATGAAGTGTGTGTGTTATGCCAGAAGAGTCAGAGTTTGGGACGCAGTCTTTTACCCCCTGGAGTGTTACCGGAGTTTTTGGAGTGCTCAAATAAACGGACGTTACTCTGGTCTCCTGCTATCGTAATATGGTTTAGATTTCTAAAAAAACATTCACCTCCCTGTTGTGCTAGATAGACCTACTCCTGAAAAACTCGTGTCTGCGCAAGGCTTTTTGTCCCTACGAGGCCAGCATCATTTACCCGACGGGAGGGGTGAGCGAGTGAGCCCTGCAATCTAGAATTTGACCACTGATGTCACTGTTTTCAACCCATTTTACACACTGGCCCTTTAAGATAATAGACGACTGCTGAGGCACTATTTCTACATCATCACATCATGTTAAGGTCCACTCATTCTCGGAACCCATCGGCTGTATTCGGCGTCTGACTTCCGGCAGATGGCGATACAGCCTCTGGGGGCAGACCCCTGATTTTTTGGCATTCCGGTTTGATTTGGGTGGAGGAGGCGAATTTCTGTTTCCGACTTCCGTTTATATATAAGTAAATATGCTGAACTATTGCGATGGATTCAGAGTTTGCAGTGACTCCATTTATGTTCCTCTTTTTTAGTTCACTGCATGGATTTTTTAACCTGGCAACAACTGCAGCCGGCTCAAACGTGATTGGTCAATATCACGTGGACTACAAACAGCCTACAACTGGAAACCAGGGCTCTTCTGCCCCTCTCGCGGAGGCAAGATCTCCGGGGTTTGCCTACAGACTCTACATTCACTGAACTTAGAGTCTGTATATAGAGACTAAGGTCCACTTAACTCTACTCATATCAAGAGTCCAGACCAACTGTCTACATGGGCTTCAAGTGAACTCTGCACCATTTGAGGCTTGAGCAAATTTCTAACTCCAATTTTGCAGTCTTGTATGTAGCCTCCTCCAAACATTTTGTCTTTCAATGTTTACACCAGAGATAAAGTGAGCCTGGACATACGACCTATCCCACTAGCAAGTGGATCTCTTGGCATACTTTGATTATTTGAGAAAACCATTGAGCATCAAGTCACTGCTTAAATTACTAAAGCTTGTTTTGTCTTCACCGCATTAATTCTCGTACCAGATCCTTCAGTCTACCACAGCATGGCCACCTCTCTCTGTTTTTCCATCCATCTTTGATCTTTTGCAATTAAACATGTAAACCCAGTGGTTGGAACTGTGGCTGAAGCAGAGACTGAGAACGGAAAAAGTTGTGGTTTCTCACAGACCCTATGACATGATCATGTCTGAGGTGATTTTTCCTTTCAGTTACCGCTAACAAACGTTGGTAATGCAAATTACCAACAAAACAAACCAGGTCACAAAGACCTTGACCTTTTACCTATGACCACCAGAATCCAATCAGTTCATTGTTGAGTTCAAGTGGATGTTTGTGTCAAATTTCAGGAAATTCACTCAAGGTGTTTTTGCATTCACGAGAATGGGATGGACGGACAGACAGAGAACATAATGCTTTTGGCAACAGCTATTGCTGGCGCAGAGGTATAAAAACACACATAAGCAAGATGTGCATTCTGTCTCACACTTATTTATCATTGTGAAGTGGTTGGAATCTTGTGCTTCAGTAGTTCCTACAGCATCTGAGTGCAAACAACTGCTTCTTCACTTCTCTCCACACAACACAAAAAGGTCAGAGATATACCAGCTGGCTGTCAGTGGAAAATTCACAAGCCAGTCAACAAGACACAAAGACGACATCGTATAGTAGGAGGCAGTGAGTGGTGAGTAGTTTTAAATTTGACAACAGTTATGCTGGAGTTAACTTAAGTGTGCAGAAAGGGTAATATTTAACAAGTTGTTGCATGATTTTTTATAACTTCTAAAAGACTAAAACGTGCATAAAAAAATCCAAGCGTGGTATCTATAAATGACCAAGCATTGGCTTTATTAAAGTGTCTTTTCAATGCCAGAAATTCACTGTGTAATGAACATAATGTAATTGTGTTCCAACAGAAAATGATTTTCATCCACATGATCATCATAGCTCTGGCAACAACAGGTGTGGCAAAAGGTACACTTCAGAATAACTGCATAGTTAACAGTGTTGGTGTGTGCACCAAAATCATACTTAAGGATGCAATATATTAAATAATTCAGATACAGTTACAGTGTCGCCTACATTTTCATGATTAACTATTGTGTTAGTTAGTAAATAATAATTATAATTAATTCAAATTATACCATTAAACACAATAAATTAATAACACTGACTGGACTTGGAATGAAATAAAAACATTATCACAATAAATACATGACTTTAAACACTTGGTGACCATCTGCATTAGATTGAAATAGTGATGATGAGGTATTTTTCCTTCTCCCTACATAAATGAAATACTACACACCAGTTTATGAGTACTCTGAATATTTTATTTATCTATTTATTTTCCCTATCAGGGACTTTGGCATGCAATTTATCTGAGACTACTGGAGCTCAGCAGTGTTTTGCTGAGCTGCTGATTTTTTTTACCTGCCCACTAGAAAAAAATATATAGATGTTGTTGATAAAGATCAACAAATGCAAAATTTAAAAAAATATACTCAATACAGTAGTATCTATAGATAAGGAACACAATCATTCTGTATTCTTCACAGATGGAACACACACACACACACACACACACACACATATATATATATATATATATATATATATATATATTTCAATAAGGGGGATTTA